CAGCGAGAGGTGCAATCCACGACTCACTCTCCAAATGAACATAGTGACAAGGGGGCCAGGCTGAAGTCAGGACCTCAGGACTCTGTGTCTAGTGATCGCCTTTAACTCTTGGATTCTATCCATTTTCAGCCTTCTCTGCTTGTCTCCTAGAAGCAGTCATGCCTAGTAGGATATTTTACACACATGAAGGTACTTAATGGCTGATTTTAGGCAAGTGGAAACATAAAAGCCTGACTTATCAAGGGAATAAGATACTTAGGCTTGAAATCCTCATTGGTATGAAACATTCTTACTTCTCTGTGTTTTTGATACTTTTTCTTTTTCATTTCTAATAAGTTAATATCTTCTGAACTTCTGTAACCTTAAGCTTCTGAAGTATATTTTGAATTTATAAAGTATTTAATTAGAAAGTACTGGAAACGTTTCTGCTCAAATGCTTTCTACACAAAGTTTTAGTTTGCTTTGAAGTTCAAATCCCATCATGATTTGTATCTAGTAAACATAAAAAGTTAGTCAAGAGTCTTCCCATTAGTCGAGATGAATTTATTATTTTCGCATTAAAATTAGAGCATTTTAAAATTTATGTATTTGACATCAAGCAGAAACTCAGACTAAGTATGTTTTCAAGTGTAAGTAAACATTAAGTGGTGAAAATTTAAATATCTATATTTAAATCAGAAGAAGGATTATGATCTGAACTTATCTATGTGCCCAAACATTTTAGTTCAGATGATGTACCAGCACACATAAAACAGTATAGATGCCTTAGAAATTCCCCAGCATGTACCTGGTAAATTTTCTGCTTTCTTTGATTTATTTTCATATGCTCATTTTGATAATTTTGTTAAGCTTAAAATTTGAAAAAAAAAATGCATGAATTTTCACCTATGACTATTTTGGTGAATTTATTCTACAGAATAGAAGTACACACACACACACACACGACATTATCTCCCTCCATTCCTTACCACTAATAAAACTCAGAGAGGAAGGGTAAGAGAGCCTCTTGGTCCCAACTGTATAGATCATCACTAGGAGAGAGTGGGTCTTAGAGATTAAAGAGTAGATATGTCAGAAGAGAGCCAGGATTCTTGATGAAATAAATATTCAAAATAATCCAGAAGAAGAAGAAAAATCTCATCTTACTGTGAAAAATGTCAACAACCAGTATTGATGTGGACTTATTTATTTATGGTTTTATTGGAAAGGTACATTCACAGAGAGAAGGAGAAACAGAGAGAAAGATCTTCCATCTTCTGGTTGATTCATTCTCTAAATGGCTGCAATGGCCAGGGCTGGGGTGATCTGAAGCCAGGAGCTTCTTCAGAGTCTCCCATGCAGGTGCAGGTGCAGAGTCCCAAAGCTCTGGGCCATCGTCAACTGCTTTCCCAGGCCACGAGCAGGGAGCTGAATGTGAAGTGGAGCAGCTGGGACACAAACCGGTGCCCATATGGGATCCTGTTACGTACAAGGCAAAGACTTAAGCACTAGACTTAAGCCTAAATTTATTTTTTAATTGACCTCAGCCAAAGACAAATATAAAAACATGATCTGAAGGTGTCCTTGTTTCTCACAAAAGCTGTTGTTCTCCCTAACTCTGACGAGCGCCCAGAAAGCATCTCAGAGTAGGGGCAGAGAACTGTAGTTCTTGGAGAGGGACATGGTCCCAACCTATAAGACAAACCAGAGTTTAAGCTTTGTGTGAATACTTTCAATAATTGGAATTTTCTATTAACTGATAGTGCATTTTTCAGAAATAGCACTGTAATGAAGGTCACAGAATGTGGAACCGAAGTATTGGCTTTCCATGTATGCCAGAGGTCATCAAATACACTCATGTAGGCGTTTACTCCCTGCTCTCAGCTAACCAATCGTGTGACCATTATTGAACGAAAACAGACAAGAGAAGCGTCCATTGGAGTGTAAGACAATTTCTCAAAAGAAGTTACAGATTTGGGAATTGGACCTGAATCTGCCTAACTTCCTTTGAGCACAGCCTCCTGTGGCTGCAGAAATGTGGAGTCATCAGCTGCTACTGTAGTCCTCTCACCTCTCCCAGAAATGTTACCATCTTCCTGTCTGCCTCAACCCTTTGTCTTCCACTCTTCCCCTCTCAGTTATGTGTCTTACAAATGTTTGTCCCGCTCCTACTCTGTGGCAAGAGTCATGCATGATGCTGAGGATCAGAGCACGCACACCCTCTGCCTTTTGTGGATTGTACAGCTTAGTGAATGTCCTGGAAGATGCTACCACATGCATTTTCACTACCCTTACCCCCTCCCCCGACTCCTTTATTTATGCGGTTATTTGTGTCTCAACTTTCCCATTTATTTACTGAGAATTATCCTTTTGGCTAATGTATTTAAAAGGTAACCTAAAATAAACCTTAAAAAATATCTTCCACTCTTTGTTGTTGGAAAGCAAGGAGGATAATATAAATATGTGTCGAAAAATGAGTTATATGAAACAGGTTTTTCTTAAAGCCACTGTGCAGTTTTATTGAAACAAACTAGTCGTTATAAAGGTGAATATTTGGGCTTATGTTTCACTTGGGCAAAAAGTGTATCATACTCCTTCAAATAGGCCTTTCCCTTTTCAAATTTAAAACTGGTTTGTATTTAAACTCCTTCTTTTAAAAGACAAGCTAAAAATTCTGTTCAAGTGCCACAAAGCTAACATATATTTGAACACATTCACCCCTATTCCCCTTTTTAGACATACCTATTCACTCTTTGGAAAGGCCTGTATTGGTTTACTGAAAAGAAAAAATCCCATTTTTGTAACTGAGCCAGTATCATCATTATCAAAATTATGAAAGATCTGGAATACAGTTTAAGAAAGAATGCTGGTATATAGAAGGACATGTTGATTTCTCACATTTTCATTAGTTGCATCATATTACAGAACTATAGGAACTGCCTATTTCTTTAACTTACCCTTTAATAATTAAATTAGGTAATCTTCTGTAGAATAATGTTCTGCAGACTGTGTTGGATTCTTTAACCAGCTTTGGACACACTCACATGAAACTTCAAAAGTTTCATGGAAAATAGATATCATATTTTCTCATTCTATCTTTGTAAAAAGTTCTTAAAGTACATATATATGTAATTGTTATATATAATATTTAATATATGTTTTGTTCAGAAGAAGCTATTTGTATTATTAAACATCTAAGTTGGCATTGATACATGGTAGATTCTCATACCTTATCCTAAACAAGTTACCTAACATCTTTGATGATCTTTATCCCTCTACTCTTGCGAACTGAAGAGGTTACTCCAAACTAATGATTTCCTCCCAGCTCAAAGTGTTCCTGTAAGCTACTGAATTTCCAGAGCTATAGTTTCCCCTTTGTACTTCACTGAGTAATTCTGTGTTTTGTTTTTTTATAATCTCAAATACTGCAACATATCTGATATCTTTTCACCTATTTAGTAAGGATGGGAGGGGGCCGTTGTAGTCTGTCTGACTTTGTAGTGATTGCCAGCTTCTACAAACCACACAGACCCTGGAATAGTCAACGGTTCCTTTGGATCCCACAGAAAGCCTGTGCTGCATTGTATTAATCGTGTGTTTATGTCTGCTTTCCTCCTGTGAAGCAGTTAAGCGTCATTCTTAATTTTCTGTCTCTGCCAACAGGAAATTGTACTGTTGCCTAAACCTCTGGCTTTCTAATGATTCTGTTTAGAAGGTGTAAATCTAGCAAAGCTTGGACAGATGTCCTGCTGCCAAACTGTTGTCCGTGTGGATTGTGTTTTCACAGCTGTCCATTGTGATGGCTGCTCCCTGTGGAGGGTGGTTCTGGAGTCCAGCCTATGTTTGGGGTTTTAATCTTGTCAGAATATTTTTTTAGGGCTTCCTCTTTTGAGTATAGGAAATAGAGTATGTTCCATTTCAAAGTGTGATGTTCTATCTTCCATATATTTGGGATAGCATGTTTTGATGTTTTAGATAGAACAATTATTTTGATACATGATATACTCTATTGTAATAAACAAGCAGAATAAATAAGCTGGGCTAGGTGGTCAGGATTCTGTTAGAATCTAAAATAATTTCCATTTTAATGATGAAATACAAACAGGAACTTAGGCACAGATAGTTTTAATCAGTGTTCTAAGACTCGTCTCCCAGACTGTTGCTTATTTGACAGAAGATTTTGGATGGAGTGGAAGTGGAGTAGGAAAACAACTACTTTAAAGATAATATTAATTACTGGGAAAACAAATACAAACAAAACTTCAGACACTTTTCAGACCAGTTTGGCTTATGGCTGAAAAATATCATGCATCTCGGTTTCAGATTATTTCAAGACTTGCTCTGGCAGATATAGTCAATGTTATTTTTATGTTGTTATTATGTTTAGAAAAACAGGAGCATATAATGTTCAATACTTTAGGAAAAGCCTACAATGGAAATTTGTAAAGCTCTACCTTCTGGAGTAAAATGGAAATGGAATTGTCTTTTACATGTTTGGTTTATATAAATGTGTGCTAGACTAATGGATAAATAGGAAAGAAATGACATTGCATTATTTAATATTTATTTCTTTCCCCCAAGTAAACAGTTAATATAAGAGATAATAAGGTGTTACCCTCAGAGAGTTATTTCTCACTGCAAGATATCTTGAGACAGTTTTAATTGAAGGTGTTTAATTTGTCATTATACTTTCTTGTTAAACTGACTTTTGAAATGGTTGAAATTGCCTAATTTACATGTTCTATCTGTTTATGATAATATGGAGAACTAAGAACATTAATTTAGTACAGAGTGGAAAGTAAAAAAAATAATATTGGAAGGAAGTATGTAAAAAAGTAGCCATTTGAAAACAAGATACTATTAAAAACTGATAATAAAGACTTTACACAAATTTATATGTATAGGACATGAATATCACCATTTTTCTTGGATTACTGTGGCATATTATATATTGTTATAAATAACTTTACTTAATATCTCTGTTTTTACTTAATGTCTTTGTTTTGTTTTCTTTTAAACAGCAAATGCCAGTCTTCTTGGAGGAGGTGGTGGTAAGTCCTAAACAATAATTCACCTAAAATACAACTTTCTTCCTGTACTAACTGAGAGTGTTGGAGGTTCTGTGACACTTTAGTTTTGCTGTTGTCATGAACCACAAAAATGGCAATCCATAAAATAATTTATAGTAGGAATGTCTTAGTTATCCTAAACATGATTTTAACTGACATCAATATGTGAAATACTACTTTGCTTCATGTTCATAGTCTGGGCATAAAGCATAGCAGCTTACATGAGAATACATACAGCAGAAGCCAGTCACCTTTAATACGAATTCTAAAATAACAACGCAATTGTAGGTTGTGGCTTTTGTTGTTGTTGTTGTTGTTCGCTTATCATAATGGCTTTCTTTTGCTTGTCATGACTGTGTAGCCTTAATATATGAACCACTTACTTTGAAAAATAAAAAAAGAAATCAGTATTGACATTTTATTTTATGCTTAGTTGGAAGAGAAAATGAAAAAAGAAAAAAGATGAGAGTGATATGAATAAGAGAAAAGTTCCTGCACTGGGAATTTTTTGATCCTGAAAATCTTAGAACTAATTATATTTTCATTCCAAGGTTAGAAAAGTAAAAGCTTTAGTAGCACAAATTTATACACATATGTATATATATTCAATATGGAATGAGGAAAAGTATGTAAGAAAATAGGGTTCCTTTTCATACATAACTCATATATAACTCATAAATAGGTATGTTCTCTTTCTCTCCATATCTTGCTTTCTCTTTTTAAACACAGGGTTGAAATAAGCAGGATTTTATGTAATGTTAGGATCTAAAGAAAAAAAAATTGTCCTGATTTTCATCAGGAGGTTTCAGTACAATTTTAATTTAAAAATTGAAATAAAACGTTAAGTATTCTTTCTTTTTTTAAGAGTTAATTTTTTACAGAATGATTGAAATGGAAATTATAAAAAATTTAAACTAGAAAGTGTTCTTCCTATAATCACAAATGAGTGCCTATCCTATAATGTACGCTATGAAGAGTGTAGCATTTTAGTTGGACTTACTGTGTTCAAGCATGAAAGGATTATGTAATATCTTCACATGTCAACTCCCCACCTTAAAAAAACCAAGGATATTGATCCCCTAAAGCGTTTATTGTGAGAACTAAGTAAAAAAATACCTAGTACAGAGTAGAATAGTAAGGGATTATATTGTTTTCTTTCCAAAATTGTTTCATCAAACATAAATCTACAGAATTTTTTATTGTGTCTTTTATACTATTGGGGGTTGTGGTTAGAAGAGAAAAAAAAATGTATGGTTGGATTTCCAATAATTTTTTCTAGATTTCTTATAATATGCAAATAAAAATTATTAAAATAAATGTTCTTATAACTTAATTTCTTATGAGATATACCAGTATTTAAAGAACCCTTGACGAATATTGTTAATGCCAAAGAGGAAAGCAAAATTTTGATGTGCACGAATACTTTCTCACGTTATCATGGACCAATTGGCTAAATCATTTATTATCCTTGGTTGATTCCAAAATGCGATTTGACTAATTATATTAGTTAAAATTATATTAGATGCTCATTATAGAAAAATACAAGGGTGATAGTAATACATTTCTGTCTCACATAGAAGTCATATGAATGTAGACCGGAATGGTTATATGGTGACAACAAGGACTCGAGTCCTTATTTGTAACTTTAACCTTTTATAGCATAGATGGTCTGAAAACTGCTGAGACTCTTGCAAGTTTGAACAGGAAAGGTAAAAAAAAAAATTAAAATCGGCTTCTGAAGATGAAGGGTTTTTTTTTTTAAGCAAAAATTTCTTGAAAATCCACATTGTCAACCTGATAAAATACTCCTCTGCGGCTTGTAGTCTTTTATTCTAGTAAACAGCATGCTCATTAGATAGCCAAATCAGGTTCTGTGAGGGGGCAGGTGGTGCTTGAGGGTAGAGGGATGCCCACAGGCCTGTGCCCTGCCTTGTGCATGTCTCTCTCTACTGCTGAGCTCCTGTGCGTGAATGTGTGTATGCATGGTGAGCATGCGTGGTATCGCCTCCAGTGACTGGACTTTTTCACCTTTCTGTTCATCTGAACTGTGTAAGGCCTATCATGAATTTTCAGCAATAGTGATACTTTTGGAAATGCAGACTTAAGTTTTCTGTTTACCTGAAATAGGCACTGGGCTCTAAATTCGTTGTAATTTCTAATTTAGTTGTAAATATGTAGGAAGGCTGTAATTTCTTTCATTAAAGTAAGGCATTGACAGGTGTACTGGAGATGTCAAGGTTGCTCTAAAGCAATAGTTCGGTCTTTGGAAAGCTGCACTTCCACTTTACATTTAAGCATTATTTTTAGCCTTCTTTGAACTGATTTTTGACCTTGTGATTCCGAGGTATCTTTTTAATCCTCTTAGTGTTATTTGGAAAGTAACAGCTAGTAAAATCACTCAATAAAGAACAATCAAATTGATGTAATTCCCATTGATTTAATCAGAGATTCCTCTTATTGACTTGAACTAATTTCCTTACAAAGGTATCCAAAGATAGTAATTCAATGATAGGCTATGCAATTTTGATTAAGAAAAGTTGATATAACTTGTTAAAGTATAATAAAGAAAGAGTCATTTTTCAGGGTCTCAAATTTCATTTAAGTAGTATTTGAATGTAAAATTTAGACAAAATCGTATCTAAAACTATCTATGATAAGCATATTATTAAGTTATTGCTGTATAAAATTGTGCCTATCTAAGCATTTTCTTTTTTTTTTTTATGAGACACTAACATTCATTTTGAGCACCTGTAACCATCAGGTTTTCTAAGAGATTTTTCAAATGGTCACACATCATCTTCTCGGTTCTTATTTCCAAGTGAGGAAATTACTTTACCATGGTGTTATTTTTTCATCTTTGGCCTGGAGATTAGTGTTTCTGAGAATTTAGTGTCACTGACTGCCATTTATCGTAATGAACATACACAATCTGGTCCTCTCATCGGTCAGTGAAAATGCTTCGTGCAGGTGTTTCTTTCCCTCTGTATATCCTTGATATGTTAAAACTAATATGGAAAGTCTCGAGTGTATGACTAAGAATCTATGTTTCTATAAACCTTTACAGCAATGTTCATATGTTAAGCTTTATGAATCACTTTTGCTAAGCACCCCATGGATCTGGCAACACAATGTTGTGTAACTCATACATAATACATACCAACTTTTATGTTCTCATCTCGTCCATTGTTTGGTTGGGGTAGAGATGACCTACATTATACCATGGGTACAATGGGTACAAGACAATCTTAAAATTTTAGTGGATTCATGCACAAGTTTTATTTCATATTCACATCTTAGTCTGAGTGGGACAGCTGACAGTACTCAGGCTCAGCTGCAGTGGGTGGCACAGAGACCTGAGCTCTTTCCATCTCATGTAGCTCCTCCATGTAGATGTGGCTGCTAAAGACGCCACAGAACAGTAAGAGGAGCTGGAGAATTCTGTGCGATCTATCTGTAGATCAGTTTTTGCAAATGCCTTTTATCACATCAGTTCACGCTTCTGTAGTTGAAGTTCAGGCAAGTGATTCTCAATTTAATTATGAGGGAATCTGGGGTCAATGGAGTCTCCTAATATTCCCTGGAAGAGGAAATAACACAGTACATACATCCATGAGGCTGTCTCTGCTTCCCTGGCCATGAAAGATCAATGTTATTACGTATAATCAGTACTACCATTATTCTGGTGGCTGATGGAATGAGATCTAGAGATATTTGATTGCTCCTGCCTGATTACACAGATGGTAAAGAAAGTTTGAGCGAGAAGGACAGAGTTCTTGACTTCCATGTCAGGTTTGTTTTTCTTTTTTGCTCTTCTTTTACAACACATTTCTTCAGCTTTGCCCTTTTTACAAGGGTTACTTCTGCCTCTTCTGTCAAAGGAACCAAAGCATATGTGAAACTTTTCTTCTTTTTTATTAAGATTTATTTATTTTTATTAGTTTTTTTTTAATTGGAAAGGCACTTGGTTATTGTGCAGGGCACAAAACTGTTTTCTTCATTTTTTAATTTTAGAAGATGTTCTTATTTTTATTGTAAAGTCAGATTCACAGAGAGAAGGAGAGACAGAGAGAAAGGTCTTCCATCTTCTGGTTCACTCCCCAAGTAGCTGCAATGGCTGGAGCTGAGCTGATCCAAAACCAGAAGCCAGAAGCCTCCTCTGGGTCTCCCATGTGAGTGCAGGGTCCCAAGGCTTTGTGTCATCTCCTACTGCTTTCCCAGGCCATAGGCAGGAAGCAGGAAGGGAAGTGGAGCAGCTGGGATGTGAACCAGCGCTCCTATGGGATCTTGGCACGTGCAAGGCGAGAACTTTAGCCACTAAGCTACCACACGAAGCCCCCTTTTTAATTTTTATTTATGTATTGGAAAGGCAGAGCTATAGTCAGACAGAGAGAACTGCTGTCTGCTTTATTTCTCTATGCTAGTCTAGGCAGAAGTCAGGAGCTAAGAACTGTTTGGTTCCCCCATGTGAATGGCAGAAAACCAAATGCTTGAGTGATCTCCAGTCTCTCCTGGGGTACACATAGGAGTGAAGTTGCAATGGACAGCTGAGATGGGATTTGAACCCAGGCGCTTTGTGGGAATTGGGAGTCTCAGGCAATGTCTCAACACCTAGGCAAGATTCATGGCCCATTTATTAGATATTTAAAATGTTAGTTTCCGTGACAGCAGTGACAGGTTAGTGGTGGCTTTTCTACATAACTTTACATGACTGCCATCCTAGTCATAGGCAAATATCCATATATATAAATACATATGTATATGCACATATGTATATGTATATATTAAAATGCATTTATGTGAAAAATGTGTATTTGGATCAGTAATTCTATATCTTGACCCTATGATGATGCTCTGACAGATCAATGTTAAAAGTTCAAAACATAAGCGGCTAATACTCTCAACCCAGATGTGGCTGGGAGAGCCATCTGTCCACAGTGAGAATGGGACACGTGGTGTGTGCACCTGTCTCACGTGTGGGCCGC